CATAGTTAATGAAGTGTTTCCCTTAAAGTCAGGGAATTGAAGATCCATTCATCTCCATTTCACAAGTTGAAGTGTTTGCCTTATGTGTTGTGCTGCTTAGTTCACTAAGAGAACAATAAAAGTAATTTTTAATGTCAAATTGCTCTATATAATTTCTCAGTCTACACTTGATCCAAAAAACCACTTCCAGCTGACAGGTATTGCAAACTCTGATGACCATTAATGTGAGGTGGAATTTTGTAAATTGTTAGAAAATTTTTAAAGTGTTAGAAAGTAATTGGGGGTGAGGGATGGCTGGGGTTTAGTTACAGAGTCAACTATTGTTTAGACGAAGAGGTTTAATTAGGATTTTAAGTGTTTTATAGACTAGAGAGGAGTGAAGAAATGGACTTTTGACTTTCAGGACCGTTAATTTGAAAGTCCCATTTTGCAGCTGGACTAAGGGAGTTTTAGAAGTTTCTCAGGATCAGAAGCGCTCCAGCCTTTCAAATGCCGTGTTAGCGTTTTGTTGTAAGCCGTAACGGAGACTAGAAAAGTTGTTCGTGAGTGCCAGTTACTCAGCTGGATTGGAAAACTGTCACTTTGAACTCTCGTCTTAGGCCTTGCCACCTCTGCCGTTGCCAGATATCTCGCCTCTGCTAGCAAACGGCCACCACATTTATCAGCAGGCGGCCGAGTCTGCTGCTGCGCCCAGGGCAAAGCCATGCCTGCCACAAACTGTGACGGCGGGGATGCTGGCTGTCCCTCATCACATCCGCGAAACCTGGGGCTGGGTGCAGGGACTGGTGCCGGTGCTGCTCTAGATTTCATTTTGTTCCGTGTACCTGCTTGCGCATGTTCCATAAGAAAGTAGGAAGAAAGAGTCTCTCCACAGAAATCCACATGCAGGATGAGATCTGTCTCCCCACTCCTGTCTTTTTGTATAGCTTGATGTGCAGTGTGTGTTGTTACAGTAGCTTCTTTCTGCTTAAAGATATAATGGGTACGTTATTTTTGTTACTCCTTCACTTATTCTTTTTTTTTTTTTTTTTGCTTTTTCGGTTACACCCCACGATGCACAGGAGTTACTCCTGGTTTATGCACTCATGAATTACTCCTGGTGGTGCTCGGGGGACCCTATGGGATGCTGGGAATCAAACCCTGGTTGGCTGTATGCAAGACAAACGCCCTACCTGCTGTGCTATTGCTCCAGCCCCTTATTACTCCATTTTTGAGTTTTTTATAAACATCATTATTTTGATCAGTGCTGTTTATAAAATTTCAAGTCATCACTCCTATTGTCTGAATTACAGTTTAAAATTCTGATGATTTAATTAACATTTGTGTGATGAGCAGAGCATTGATTACAGAAATTCACTTTCAATATAATTTATTTTAACATTAGAGACAGTACAGGATGTGATTTTTTTTTTTATAGAATGTGGTGAGGGCTTATTTCTGTTACATAGAGCTAAATTTATTCTAGCTAAATATCTGATAATCATTGGCATCTGCATATATCTTATTGACTCCATCCTAAAAAGTGGTAGGTTATGTTCCACTGTCCAGTAGTGTAGTTATTCCACACTGCATTACATGAGTGGAACAAGAACATGTTGGAAGGCAGGGATTTGCTATTCCAAATTCTCCTGTTAAATATGGGGCAATTTCTTATGCCGAAATTATCCTTATTTACATTCCAGGTCCTGTAAAGTAACTTAGTTGGATTTGGGGAGCACTTTAAAAAAATTGTAAAAAAATTAAAAATATGTCCTCTGGATTATACACAAAGGAGGTATCAAAATATGAGAGTTAGAGAAGAGAAACTCAGAAAGAATGAAAATAGGGTTGCTCTGGAATATTCTAGAGGGAGGAGCAAGGAGGAGAGGAGGGGAGAGAGAGCCCAGGTCATGGAGGATCCTGACTCAGAGGTCAGACATCTGGTCTTGGAGGAAGAAGAGAAAGGATGGACGCAAGTTCAAATGCATATATATTATGTCCCGGCTAGACAACTGACTTGTTTGTAAAGGCCAACCTATATTAGGCAACTTTTGGATCATTTAAAATGTTAGAGTCCTCGGTTCTGACTCAAGATGAACATAAATATGTTTACTCTGATCAACTGGTAGAAGTTTTTCCCTAATCACTCAATGACAAACTTAATAACAATGAGTATTTTACTCGTGCCTTCCCACTGATTTTCTTCAATTAAAAACATACTGAGGGGCCTGGAGCACAGCAGGTAGGGCGTTTGCCTTGCACGCGGCCAACCCAGGTTCGATTCCCAGCATCCCATATGGTCCCCTGAGCAAGGCCAGGGGTGATTCCTGAGTGCAGAACCAGGAGTAACCCCTGTGCATCGTCGGTTGTGACCCAAAAAGCAGGAAAAAAAAAATCACTGATTTTCTTCAATTAAAAACAAACCAAAAAACATGTTTATTAATTGAGTTTTTAGTAGACTGTCTCAAATTTTTATTAAATTCTTTAAAATGTACTGATTGAATTGCTTCAACTGTTCTTTTTGTTTTGTTTTTGTGTTTTTACCACACCTGGCTGTGCTCAGAGCTTACTCCTGGCTCTCTGCTCACAGGACGACATGTGGTGCCAGGAATCGAACCAGGGTCCGGGATCAGTAGCATGCAAAATAAGCACTGCAACTAGCCTCTATACAGCTCTCAAGCACTTGTAAGTGTTTTCTCGTTTTAAAGATGGTTAAGTAGAGAGAGATCAAGTTTGTTTGGCCCAAATGTTCAGTGATTTATTGGTCTGAAGTTACTGAGCCACTCAATAGCAGAGGTAAGAGGAACATTGGTTTCATGATTTGTAGTCTTTCCCTGTGGACAACTGTTTTGCTTTTCGGACTTATCGCCGGTGTCTAATTTCAGTACCTACAGTTTTGGTGTCCTTTTGGCCCACGAGTATCCCATTAAAACTGCAAAACTAGACTTACTGGCTTCTTTTGTATTAGCTCAACAAATATTTGTCAAGTGTCTCCTTACTATATGATGGTCATTATTTTAGATGGTGAAGGTCAACAAGTTCTCAGGCCAAAAGCTGATTGGAGAGGGTTAAAGAATGCACCGAAGGTGAGAAATCACCGACAAAGGTGAGGGCTGATTCCCTGGAAAAATTTCACTGTGAGAGTCCAGAAATGAGAAATGGGGTAATACCGAAAACTACTGGAGAGGAAAATGAGTGCTATTAGAGGAAAGAGGGATTCATTGTGGAGTCAAGTCCTGGGGGGAGGCTTGTGGGATGGGGTGGAGAGCATGAGTCAGGGATCACTCTTCCCTGCAGTGCCCCTGACAGAGCTTGTCCCTTCTCTCTCCGGACGCCTTTAGGCCACATTGACCCAGCTTCCTTTTCTAATCGCTATTTTTATTAAATTTTTAATTGTGGAACTTGGTTTATCGAAGTGTTAATATGTACGTTTTCAGCCGGATCACCACCTTCCCCAAGTGCCAGACACCCTCCACATGAGTCCCTGGCTTCTACCTGGACCCTCCCAACCTTCTCTCCTGCCTGCTCCGCCACCCTCTTCGATAATCTCAGTTTTGCTGTCAGAGTTCAAGCGTTTGTTTTCACTGGATACTGTTGATTTCCGATTTCATTGCTCCGTGTTTGAGTGAGAATATCTGGCAGTTTGTCTCCCCTCTGACTGTCTCTGCTTAGAAGGTTACCCTCTGGTTCCGTCCAACTTCTAGCAGAAGACACGGTTTCCTCTTCCAGCTGAGTAGCATCCACTGTGTATAGACTGCGGCTTTATTACTCATATGTCGTTGGGCACTTGGGCTGTTGCCAGACCTTGGCTAATGTGAATAGTGCTGCAGTGAACCTCGTTGGGCACATACCTTTTTTGAATTAATGTTTTTGTATTCTTGAGGTTGATGCCAAGAAGTGGGTATTGCTGGATCATATGGTTGTTCTATTTGAGAATTCTCCGTACTGTGTTTCAAAGAGGATCCCACCAGCAGTGAATGAAGGTTTCTTTTTCTCTATATCCCCACAAACACTGGTTGTTTCTGTTTTTTTTCCCCTACAGGGCATTCTTACTGGTTTGAGGTATCTAATCACTCTTTCTCTTGTGTAGGGGGCACACCTGGCTGTACTTGGGGCTTACGCCTGGCTCTGCACTCAGTGATAACTCCTGGCATTGCTCCGGGAATCATATGTGGTTCTGGGGATTGAAATTCCAGTGGATTTTGTGCAAGGCAAACATCCTATCCACTGTACTAGCTCTTGGCCCCATTTGTCACTCCTTTGTAAAAATTTATTTATCATGTGGTGTCATTGAGTTGCAAGAGTGCAGATGTTTGGGCCAGAGGTAGTACAGTGGAGCGTTTGCTTTGCATGTGGTTGACCCTGCTTCAATCCCTCAATCCCTGGCATCCCATGTGGTTCCCTGAGCCCCGCCAGGAATGATTCCTGAGCGCAGAGCTGGGAGTAACCCGTGAATATCACCAGGTGTGGCCCACCCCTGACCCTGAAGAGGCACACACAAATGTTGAGTTTTAGAGGCCCAATGTTATATGCCATGCCTGGCACCGGAGAGCCAATATTCACCCCCACATATCAGACTCAGCTCACACCGCCTCTGCTTAGTAACCCTAGTTCTGTGGTCAGAGACTGGCGTTTGTTTGAATTGGACATTTGTCTGTTCTCTTGCTTTGTTTTTTCATATCTCACTTATGAATGAGATCATCTGGTATTTCTCCTGTTGACTGACTTCTCTTAGCGCAACACCCTCCATGTTTGCTGTAGCAAAAGGCAAAACATTTAACCTTTTCTTAGAGAATTGAGTAGTACCTCGGGGTGTACATATGCCATATCCTCTGTATCTACTCCTCTGTCATTAGGCACTTGAGTTATTTTCAGATATTAGCTATTGTAATGGTTCTGCAATGAAAATAAGTGTATATCTTTTTAAATTTATGTTGTAGTAGTTTTTGTAAGCGCTATTATTTTTTGTACTTGAAGCAACTGGTGATATTTAACTCTAATTTTAATATTTGTACCAACAGGTGAAGCGAAAAACTTACTGCCATATCTTGGACCCAACAAAATGAGAGATTGTTTCTGCACTATAAACTTGGACCAGGAGGAAGTTTATCGTACACAAGTTGTTGAAAAATCTTTAAGGTTCGTAAAAGAAATGTGACAAGTTATGATACAAATGTTGTATATTGATTAATAAATTTTATACATTTTTCAAACTAATCAGCAAGACTTTGTTCACTCAAAATGATACTTTTCTTTCACGTTCTGAATTTATTTTTTAAGTAACCAAGTCTCGGATTCTAACTCAACCCTAATGTTAATGGAGTCAGACTAACTACCATATGTTTGATTCCTTCACCAAATTGTTCACTGCTTCCTAAGCAGCCTGGTCAGTCTTGGCACTGTTTTGACCCGTAGAAAGCTGCTTTCATTTAGTCGATTAAAGTCTATCAAACTGAGAACCTTCTTTATGCCAGAATTTGCTGGATGCTGTTTGTTCATACATCCATGAGAACAAGATAGACACAGAGCTTGCTTTGATGTGGCTTTTTGTAGCCTCAAAATGTGTCTTCCTCTTAATTGCTTCTAATTCTCTCACTTGGCTTTCTGGAGTTTGAGTATATTTCACATGACACTCTGCAAGTTTTTGAAAACAGCTATCACGTACTTCCGCTTCTTTTCTCAGCTTAATTTTGTACACTGTGTGAATCTTTGTGGAAGTACATAATTATTCTCTGAAGAATAAATTACTTCTTGGCTATTGAAGTCATCTAATGAAGTAGTAGTTTCTTGTAAGGACTTTCTCATCTTTTCAGTCTGTAGTAGCACTCCGGGGAACATCGTACTAAACCCTAGTTGATAAAATTGAAGTATGCCCCCTTGCTTTGTAATCGTGCTTGTGACATAATTCTCCTGCAGAGAGCTGTGTTTTCAGGGAAGAGTGTGGTCTGGCACAGAGATAGGTTTTAAATCCAGGGTCTGGGGTTGGAGATCACGATTCAGGCAAATTATTAAATGTTTATTGGGTAGACTTGCACTTTTTCCCCTATGCTCGTCTTTTTCCCCTCTGTAGTTTTTCTCCATGTCTTTTTCAATATTTATTAATTTCAAATACCTCTTAAGTTTTTCAGAAAAGGTTTCGTATAAAGCTGAAAATACTTTAATATCCCCAAAAGCTTTGAAGTTAATACTCTTCAAAGGTTTCCTTGTAAATTGCCTGTCCCTGTAGTGGAATTCTGGTGTTGTCTATATGTTATTAATTGAGTCACCGAAAGACTGCATAACTGGTGTACATAATAAAGTTAGAGGCAAATTTCAGATTGGGTACCTGAAGCTTTCTGAATCCCATTTGTTATTGATGTACACAGATTTCATATCATTCAATACTCAGTCATACCTAAAATTCAGTAGTCATTTTCTGTAAATTGAATACTCGTGGCTAATATGTATAGCTTTATAAAATCATAACTAAAATCTACCTACTGAAAGAAAACAAAATCTGCTTTTATAGTTGTAATAACTATTATTATTAATTTGGATTTTTGAGCCACACCTGGCGATGCTCTTGGCTCTGCACTTAGGCGTTACTCCTGGTGGTGCTTAGGGGACCATAATGGGAAGCCAAGGATCAAACTCAGGTTTGCAAGACAAACATCCTTCCGACTGTACTATCACTCTCACTCATTATTTTTTTTTCCATTTTTATCTTTTGGGTTTTGGGCCACACACAGCTCAGGACTTAATCCTGGCTCTGTGCTCAGGCATCACTCCTGGCTGGTGTTTGGTCTGCCCTATGCAGGGCAAGCCCCTAGCCCCTATACTGTCACTCGAACCCATATAAGCGACATTTTAAAGTATCCATTTGTTCTTTAAACATTCTCAGGGCAGGTAGAGCGATAGTACAGCAGGTAGGGTGTTTGCCTTGCATGCAGCTGACCCAGGTTCTATTCCTGGCGTCCCATATGGTCCCCCGAGCTCTGCCAGGGGTGATTTCTGAGTGCAGAGCCAGGAGTAACCCCTGAGCATTGCCGGGTGTCGCCCCCTGCCCCCAAAAAATTCTCAGGAAAGAGATACTTTGTTTACTAACATTTTAGAGGTTTGTGTATTTATAATATTTGTACATCATATTATTGCTGGAGCGTAGCACAGCGGTAGGGCGTTTGCCTTGCTTGCAGCCAGCCCGGCCGAGCTGGGTTCCATTCCTCCACCCCTCTTGGAGAGCCCAGCAAGCTACCGAGAGTATCTCGCCCACATGGCAAAGCCTGGCAAGGTACTCGTGATGTATTCAATACGCCAAACACAGTAACAAGAAGTCAAAGAATGGAGACGTTACTGGGCCTGCTCGAGCAAATTGATGAGCAACGGGAGGACAGTGACAGTGATTATTGCTGAAGCAATAGAACAGTGGGTAGGGTTGTTTCCCTTGCACACAAGCTGACCCAAGTTCAATTCCCCCGTCCCTCTCAGAGAGCCCAGCAGGCTACTGAAAGTATCTTGTCCGCACAGCAGAGACTGACAAGTTCCCCGTGGTATATTCAATATGCCAAAAACAGTAACAAGTCTCACAATGGAGACGTTACTGGTGCCTGCTTGAGCAAATCAATGAACAATAGGAGGCCAGTGCATCATAACTTTATCAAAATGGCATTCTTAAAGTAAATTTATAAAAATTTTCTGTTTTATGGGAGTAAATCTTAGCAGTTTGGGAATAAGCAAAAGTTTCATAGATGGTTCAAAACACTAATCATTAAAGAGGAACATTAATAAGCTAGATTTGAACATTAGAGCTGTCTGGTCTTCAATAGACACTGTCAAGAAAATGAAATGGTTGGGAAATTATATTCTGACATAGTAAACAGCACTATTAGAACACAATCCTTTAAAATAATGTGGAGAAGGTACAAGCACATTTCACAAAAGAAGGTATATTATTGGTCACAAAGCACATAGAAAGATATTCAGCATTGATTTTAAATGATGTCATTTGAGACTTCTGTTGAATTTCAATTTAATGAGCTTTTCCCATTTCTCTCTAGCCCATTTTTCAGCGAAGACTTTTACTTTGAGATTCCAAGAACTTTCCAGTATTTGTCTTTCTATGTTTATGATAAGAATGTTTTACAAAGAGATCTTCGTATAGGTATGTACCGTTTTCTTTGTCCACAATATGAGTAAATGTTTATATTTTTTTCTCTAAGTATGAAATGTTGAAAACAATAGATTTATGTATCAGTATGTCTCATTATGCTTAACAGACTCTGTGCTCCTTAGCGGCCCTGATTTTTATTTTGAGTCCTCTGCTGACAGGTGATGTATCCTCAAGAAAGTGCGTTTCAGGTCTGTGTGTTTTGGGAGTAGTTTCCGTAGGATTCATTATTTCTTGTTCTTCTTTCTTTCTTCTCAGCTTGTTGTTTTAATTTCTAGAATTTTCTATTTGAGTATGTACTTACAAGGGCGTGAACTGTTATAGCGCTTTTATTTCATAAAGTGACAACTGTTTGCTGAGTGCTTCCGAGGATCATTTCGATTCGGCTTTTCTTTTGGAGCCTCGCTTGCCAGTCCTCAGGATCACGCTTGGTGCTGTGCTCAGGGTCACTTCTGGTGATGCTTGGGGCACCATCTGTGGTGCCAGGAGTCGAGCCTGACCCAGTCACATGCAGTATAAGCCCCTTACCTGCTCTGCTGTCTTGCTGGTCCCACGTTTTTTGTTTTTCTCTGCAGGTGTTTGTGGGCAGTAGACTAGGGCAAAACTGACCATCCCGATGGGGTCTCCTCTGTGGACTTTGCAACGCTCTCTTTGTATTGGACTACAGGCTGATGTCTGTAATTTACATGTCTAACCCTCTCCATTTTTGTTTCCTGAATTTATCATCCTCTTTTCTCTGCTTTGGTCTGAGATTCAAGTCTCCTGCAATTTAAATAAGTAAGCTTTGACTCTGTTCTCAACTACCATCTCATTTATTTCTCCTTTTGCTATCAAATTCCTTAACAAATTCAGTACTCTTCTGCACATCATGTTTTTCTTATTTAAGTCTGTTATCTGGCTTCTACATATTTCTGATAAAACTTTTTAGAATATTGCCAAAATTATATCATAATAAACCAAATAATCCTTCAAAACAGAATGGGTTTTCTTCCCCCCCCTTTTTTTTTATTAGTGAAACACCATGAGGTACAGTTGTAGATTTACAATTTTTGTGCTTGGGTTTTGATTATACAATGATCAGATACCCGTCCCTCCACCAGTGCCCATTTTCCACCACCATGGATAATATCCCTCCCACTCCTATCCCCCTCATCCCACCCTGCCTCTGTGGCAGTGCATTCCCTTTTGTTCTCTCTCTCCTTTTGGGTGTTGTGGTCTGCAAAAGAGGCATTGAGTGGCAAACATGTTCAGTCAGAATGGGTTTTCTTAATTATAAATTGTTACGTGCCCTTCATAACCACTAGTGATTTCCCAAGAAAAGCTACTATTATTCTTCCGATACGTTGAACGCATTATGTTGTACCCATTGCTTTTAGTGATCCTTTTCCTGTGCCATCAGATAGTTTTCAAAAATGTTTATCTTATAATAATCTTTGTATAAACATGTTTTGTTTTAACCAGTTCTTTGTTGAACGTTTATTTTTGTAGATATTTGGTATTGTGGTGCTATAAAATTTGTCTTGCACACAGCGGACCCTGTTGACCCGAGTTGATTCCTCCACCCGTCTCTGAGAGCCCTGCAAGCTAGCGAGAGTATGTCGCCCACACAACAAAGCCTGGCAAGCTACCCGTGACATATTCGATATGCCAAACACAGTAACAAAAAGTCTCACAATGTTACTGGGCCCGCTCGAGCAAATCGATGAACAGCGGGAGGACAGTGACAGTAACAGATTATTTTAAAAATTTTAAAATTTCATTTTCATAAGGTTGTTCACATTGATTACATTCAATATTTCAGCACCAATCCCACCACCATTACACCTTCCCATTATTTCGAGTTTTCCAACCATCATTCAAGCCTGCCTGACACAGGCAGATGCTAGATACTTTAAATTCTATCTTTGTTATGAATATCATGAGAGATTGCGCGCTCCTGGAATTCTAAAATTGTAAATGATTGGGGTCCAGAGACATCTCTGTAAGGAGCTAGTCCATTTTGATCCATTTATCTTTTTCTTAAGGTAAGGGTAAAGGCCCTCCCGTTGATCGAGCGGGCCCAGTAACGTCTCCATTGGAGACTTTGTTGTTACTGTGTTTGGCATATCGAATACATCATGGGGAGCTTGCCAGGCTCTGCCGTATGGGCGAGATACTCCCGGTAGCTTGCTGGGCTCTCCGAGAGGGGCGGAGGAATCGAACTTGGGTTGGCCATGTTGGCTGCGTGCAAGGCAAACGCCCTGCCGCTGTGCTTTCTTAGAAAGTAAAAAATGAGTCAAATAGTATGAACGTTCTTCAGTATATACTGTAGTCTCCATCTCCTACATGTATTTTTACATTGACTCCTCTTAGCACCACCAATATTATTAAATTTATATCTCATTAGATGAAAAATGAGGATACTCGTTCCTGCCTACAACCTTCTCTGTATGTGTGGACGTTTGAGGTAGCTGGGGATCAAGTCCCCTGAGCTACATTCCCAGCCCTTCCTGATCATTCTTAAATGTTGTTGTTGAAAAAAATTAGCGTTTGAGTGGTAAAAAAATAATTTTTCTTTTAATTTGTGATTTTCTGTCAATGAATTTGGGGGATTTTCAGCTGTTTCTTGGCTATTGTTTTTCTTCTCAAATTGTTCATTCTTTTACCCACTTTTAGATAGAGTTTCATGTATTTGTTTTGTTTGGGGGCCACACCCAGTGCTGCTTACAGCTTTCTCCTGACTCTGCATTCAGGACTCATTCCTGGCAAGTTCCGGGTAATATATGGGTTGCTGGGGATCGAACCTGGATCAGTCACATGCAAGAAGTACCTTACCCACCGTACTATCATCCAGCCCTGGGCTTTGCTTTTCTTATGCATCATTTTTAAGTGTACTAACTTTTTGTCAGTTATGTACCTTACAGTTTTTCTTTCCTAAGGGAAAAGTTTCTTAGTTTTCAGTCCTCACCCACCTCTGATGGCTTATTCTGTTTTGTTGAAGCCGAAGAAAGAACCTTAAAGACTTAGTATTTTCCTCGTTGGCGTTTCTTCTAGCTGCTTTACATGTTTGCAGACTCTTTAGTCTTTCTAGCAAATCCTTAATTATAGCTAACCTCTGAAGTTCCACTCTCAGTTCAACTAAAACATTTTTAAACATTTATGTGGAGCCAGTCAGGGACAGAAATGCTAATATTAGTAGATTTAGGTTGCCTCCAGAGAGGTACTCTGGTACTCTCGTTATTAACATAACCTAAAGTCTGTGCTGGAGATATCCACCGAGTACCTGGGCGCATTGAAGGGAGATCTGTTTGGTTTTGTGTACAATTAACAGGGACTGGGGGTGGGGGAGGGTGGCAAGAACGCCCTCCTTCCCAGACTTCCCTGGCTCTTGTCTGTGCGACTGAAGAGTTGGTGGCGGGGGAAGGGGCCAGTCTTTGACTGCAGCCCTGCAGTGTGAAAAGACCGGATGCTGAGAAGAGGGAAGAAAGGTGACGGCTGCAGCCAGATAGTCTTCAGCGAGAGGGCAAGTGCGGCTTTGCCCAGAGGCCCAGAGGGTAGGGGCCACTTCTTCTGTCCACATGATGCTTTTTCTTGGACGTGTGATCGTCCCATTTCCCTAGGGTGGCTCTCAGTCCTGCACTGTCACCAATGATGCCAGAAGATAGGAGGCATCTGAACAGTCTGTCCTCCCTCCAAGGTGATGCCCAACGTATTTTGTTCTTTCTCTCCCAGACTAACCTGATACCCCTAAAGATGGGAATATAAATTGGGTCCTAGATTTTTGTTGTTTTGTTTTGCTTTGTCTTTCTGTCACACTTGTTCGTGCTCAAGACTTATGCGTGGCCCAGAGACTTCTACAGAGTTTCAGGGACTGTACGCTGTTTCTGAGATTGAACCTGGGTCAGCTGTGTGCAAGACAAGTGCCTTCCCCACTGTCCTGTCTCTCTAGCTCTGGGGCCCAGCTTTTGAGGATGAGACTAGTTTTTCATGACCTCTACCAAAGAATTTGGATTTTAGCTTATGGAGCATAGTATTGAGTGTAAACTACAGATCTTTAAAAAATTGCATATAATTATATAGATGTACATGTTTTGGTAGGTTAACAACTTCCTGTGGTCTACAATACCTTCCAAACTACAAACTCAATGTTGATAGATTACATATTTAAATATATATATAATTATAGGTAGCCATATAATTATATGACACATATTTTTCAAAGCACATATACCTATACTTGAAATATGTAATCTATAGTTTATGGTTTAGGTTAGGGGGAGATTAGAGACAGGGACCAATAAGAAGTCTAATCAAATGAGATGAGTCGGGTATTGGCAGTGGAAATGTAGATGAGGGTGTATGCTTTGGTTGTAGCTTCAAATTGGAGTTAAGGTCTAGGGACAAAGACAGCAACAAGAAGGGAAAGAGTTAACAGTGCTTTTGTCTGTGTGGCTGTCACTGGCAGAAAGAACACAGCAGGAGTATTTTGAGTGGAACAGAATGGGGAGAGGCGACTGCTTTCAAACCTGGGAAGGAGTTTATCTCAGAGGACACCTTGGATGACTGTTGAAAATACGGATCTGAAGATTAGAGCTGGGGATGTGGGTTTTAGGTCTTTAGTACATTGACCAGGAGATGCTCACTGGGCTGTGCATGCGTGCAGGAGGTCCAGGTTCAATCCCTGGCCCCACAGGGCCCTCTGAGCATCTTTGGCAGTGACGCCAAGAATGAGGGCATCATGAGTTGGGAGTAACTCCTGAGCACCACTGGTATGGCCCAACCTCCCCCAGCTCCTCTCCCGTCCCCTCAACAACGCCCACTCCCCCCGAAAAAGAGGAATCTTTAGTATTAGGAAGAGGAAATCGCCATGGGAGCAGGTGAAAAGGGTAGTAGAGAAAGTGAAGCTTCAGTGAAGATTGAGGTGTATCAGAAGCTTCGAAAAGGCTGAAGAGATTAACAGGTTGGAAGGTAAACTTTTAACAGTTCACAGCTGGAGAGGTCGAGTAGAATAAGGGCTGGGTAGAGGCTTTTGGGGATTTAGTGGTTCTTGAGTTTGTTGCCTTAATTGACAGTTATGCCTGTTTTTCCTCCTTTCCCTTTATTATAGTTGCATTGACTGGGGGGTCATGCGTTTGGTTGTAGGGCATGCACAGTTGTGTTCACTGGGGGTCTTCCGCTTTTAGTTGCAGGGCTTGTTCAGACATGCTTGATCATGGTGTTTGCCTGGGGTCACACCATGATGGCATGTATGGTCTCCTGCCTTCAAGGAATACTCTCCATGGAGCTGTCCTGGGCCCCCCAACTTCTTTTTATTTATTTATTTATTTATTTATTTATTTATTTGCTTTTCGGGTCACTCCTGGTGATGCACAGGGGTTACTCCTGGCTCTGTACTCAGGAGTTACTCCTGGCGGTGCTCAGGGGACCATATGGGATGCTGGGAATCGAACCCGGGTTGGCCACGTGCAAGGCAAACACCCTACCCACTGTGCTATCTCTCCAGCCCCCCCAACTTCTTTTTAAGAAAATGGTTTATAATTTTGATTGTTTTTTACATGTAATATCAATGTCTTCATAGTAGTTATTGAGGTTGACTTCTAAAAGTTGACTTTTTTGTTTTTGACATAAAAATTTTAAGTGAAGTATTTTATATAGAAATTAATTCTTGGGGCTGGAGCGATAGTCCAGCGGGGAGGACATATGCCTTGTACTTGGTGGACCCAGGTTCGATTCCCAGCATACTGTATGGTCCCCTGAGCACCGCCAGGAGTAATTCCTGACTGCATGAGCCAGGAGTAACCCCTGTGCATCGCCGGGTGGGACACAAAAAGAAAAAAGAAAAAAAAATTCTTGTCTAGTATTACTTGAAAGCTATAGCTTGGTGTGAGAACTTTTCTTTTTAGTTGATTCATATTAAAAGTTTTTTAAATTTAGTGGGAATATTTTACATACGCAGGGCTGGAGCAATAGCACAGCGGTAGGGAGTTTGCCTTGCGCGCAGCCGGCCCGAGTTTCTCTCCCGCACGGCAGAGCCTGGCAAGCTCCCCGTGACGTATTCAATATGCCAAACACAGTAACAACAAGTCTCATGATGGAGACGTTACTGGGCCCGCTCAAGCGAAGACTTGAGAAGAGAAGTAAGTCTTCATTATTCATCGATAGTGATTATTAATTAATTGATGAATAATGGGAGGACCGTGACCGTGATTTTACATACATTGGAATAGTTATTAAATATATTACATATGTGTGTGAGCTGGAACGATATCACAGCAGGGAGGGCGTTTGCCTTGCACGTGGCCGACCTGGGTTCGATTCCTCTGTCCCTCTCAGAGAGCCTGGCAAGCTACCAAAAGTGTCCTGCCCACAAGGCAGAGCCTGGCAAGCTCCCCGTGGCGTATTTGATATGCCAGACACAGTAACAACGAGTATCACGATGGAGACGTTACTGGGCCCGCTTGAGCAAATCGATGAGCAACGGGAGGACAATGACAGTGACATATGTGTGCATAAATTTGGAAACTGGCCTTCAGGTTTTTACTTAACTGAAATTGTTTTCCAGTTTCAGTTGATTTTAATGATGTTTTTCACCTAACATTTAAGGAAAAACTGACATCAATTTTCATAAACTTTTAGAGAAAATTGAAGAAAAGGAACTATGTCCCAGCTCATTCTAGGAGGTCAGCATTACTGATAGCAAAACCAGACAAAAAGATATTACAAAATTCAGATCAATTTTCTCATCAACCTAGGTGTAAAAATTCCCTAAATTTTAGCAAATTGAACCAAACAATATGTAACATAATAAGTATAACACATCCTGTCCAGATGGAATTTGTCCTATGGTGAAAACTAGTTCATTTTATCATAGGAATAGATCATAAAAATGTCAGTACATTCAGAAAAATCATTCAGAAAATTCAACATTCATTATTAAATTTTTTTTAAATTTTATTTTCAATAAAGTAATACTTATCAATGTGGGAAACAGTTTTTCAGATTAAAGTAAGTCTTCTAAGAGTCCAGAGATAATAGGTGTAAGTACTCATTATGAATTAGTTAAAAACTTAAGACACAAGAACCAGGCTGCAAACAGATAAAAGTTGAAAAGTTAGGCTGAAAGTTCCCCTCTGTTGGTATATTCTAGGGATTATGCATCTCCCTACGAGAGAAAATTTTTTCTGTAAGAATATCTTTCCACTTCCAAACTGTACGTAATATTTTCATTTCCTATAAGGATTTTTTTTTTGCTTTTTGGGTCACACCCGGCAATATCAGGGATTACTCCTGGCTCTGCACTCAGAAATAACCCCTGGCGGTCCTCGGGGGACCATATGGGATGCTGAGAATCGAACCCGGGTCAACCGCATGCAAGGCAAATGCTCTACCTGCTGTCCTATTGCTCCTGCCCCTCCTATAAGGATCTTAATAATACTATACAGCGATCGTGGTTTTTCCTCCTAGTGTGTATTTCTAGCTGTTACAGTTTTTAGGGAAATAGATGTAGGCAAACAGCTGACCTGGTTGACTCTGACAACTTCTGTTTCATTGGTTACAAATGGTGTGAGAATTTCTTGGGGATATTGGAGGCAAAAATTCCCGCTAGGACTGTCCCTAGCCACCATGTGACCTTAGTATGTCCCTTTCCCTTCAGAGACCTGGTACCATCAAATACTGTAAGATTTAAGATAACTTTAGTCTTTTTTATCTCTGAGAGCTTTTAGGAAAACCCACTGTTCAAACTCAGCCATTTGTTTGCATAGGAGCTGTATCGGTTGTCTATTGCGACAGACACAGTTCATCCCAGTTCACTTCATGCTCTCATTCATAAACTCTGCACGTGTTCAGGATCCTGCAGATTGTCAATCTGGACCCAGCTCTGTTGAGTTATTCTGCTGGTCCTGCCTGGGTCCCTTCTGGGTGGCACCGTAGGAGACAGCTGACCCATCTGATGCGAGTGTCTGAGAGTGGGCACTGTCACCTGAGTCTTCCTTGGGCTTCCAGAGGTCATGCCTGCTACACAGGTGCTACTTAAACCTCTCCTTGCATTACATTTGCCGATGGACTCCTGGCAGAGTTTTCAAGAAACTTTTATTGTTGTGTAATTCACATTATGTGAAATTCACAATTAAACGTACAGTGCCATGATTTTTAGTATATTCGCAGTTGTACATCTGTCACCCATTCCAGGATAAAAATCGTTAAATAGTTTTGTGTTTGTCCATCTTTCTACTTGGTACACAAAAAGGAGACGTTATCTTGAGAGAATTTTTTCTTTTGTGTTATTTTTCCTTTTGGTTTTGAACCACACCAGGCAGCCACACTTGGGCTTACTCTGGTTCTACACACAGGTATTACTCCAGGGGCTGTACTACCGCAGTACTATCACTCCAACCCCTCTTCAGGATTTTCTTGAAGTTTTCAAATTTTCTGCTGTAATACCAGGATAGATCATTAGTGAAAGGGTTTGAAATATAATTAAGGTACTTAAGATGAAAATTCTTGTTTGACAAAAGAAAATAAATTATTGGGGGCATTGTTTAAGCTCTTGGTTGTAGCTTTTGCGTAGAATCTCCAGTTGTCACTTACATGCAAAACTGCATCTACTTCTTAAAATTGGAATGAGGAAGGAAATGGTTTGAACCGACATGGCAAATGCTTCATTATAATAGGAACCTTTTTTGTTTCTTCCTCTCATACCGCTTTGTTCATTGTACTGTATCACAGAGAGGTAGAAACTTCAGGGAACTGCCTTGATTTCTTTTTCCTTTTACTTCCCCCTCCCCCATATGTGTTGAAGCAGTATAATGAAGCATTGTTTACAGGGTCTTGATCAAGAGCAAATTTAAAGGAAATTACTGTTTCAATCTCCCAGATTTTCAGGTCTTTTTTATCATTTATTAATGATAAAATGATGGTTTTTTCTCTCTTAATCGGAACCCCTAAGCTCATTAAATGTAGATGTATTTGCTCAGACAGAATGCTTTATTTATTCATAGTATTAAAGAATTAGGAGGATTAGTTTATGCTAGCATTGTTCATTGCTTTTTATGTAGTCTGGATGAAAATGTGAATCTGTGTAAGTACTAAAAAATGCAGTTGTGTGTAAATATAACTCAGGTCTTTACAAAACCTCCATTCAATAAAACCTCAGGATGGGTCTGTATGGGGCCACGGGAATGGAGACTCTTCCTTTCTTTTTTTTAATTTTTAAATTTTTTTTTATTTTTTAATTTTTATTAGTGAAACACCATGTGGTACAGTTGTAGACTTACACTTTTTTTTTCTTTTTGGGTCACACCCGGCAGTGCACAGGTGTTGCTCCTGGCTCATGCACTCAGAAATTACTCTTGGTGGTACTCAGGGGACCATATGGGATGCTGGGAATCGAACTCGGGTTGGCCGTGTGCAAGGCAAACGCCCTACCCACTGTGCTATTACTCCAGCCCCCTAGACTTACAGATTTTTGTGCTTGGGTTTCAGTTATACAATGATCGAGTGAGTACCCATCCCTCCACCAGTGCCCATTCTCCACCAACACTGATCCCAGTACCCCTCCCACCCCTATCCCCCCCATCCCACCCTCCCTCTGTGGCAGGGCTTTCCCTTTTGTTCTCTCTCTCCTTTTGGGTGCTTTTGTTTTTCGAAAGAGGCATTGAGTGGCAGTCATGTTCGGTCTATAGTCTACTCTCAGCACACATCTCACATTCTTCCATTTTTTAAATTATAGAAAATTGCTTTACAAAAAATGGATTTTTAAATATCAGTGGATAAAGAATTACAGTGTACAATTTGTTACATATAACAGTGCTAATAATTTCTGTTTAAATATGTCTCCTTACGTATTTCCTATAGGAAAAGTGGCCATCAAAAAAGAAGACTTATGTAATCACAGTGGCAAAGAAACTTGGTTTTCACTACAACCTGTTGACTCCAATTCAGAGGTTCAGGTAAATATTAAGGTTTAAGTAATGTAAGCGATTGTCACATACAAAAAATGGGTAGAAAACAGGAGCGGGGGTGGTAGTATAGCGGGTGGGGCACTCGTATACGCAGCCAACCCCGGTTCGATCCCCAGCATCCCATATGGTCTCCTGAGCCTGCAGGAGTGATCCCTGAGCACAGAGCTAGAAGTAAACCCTGAGCAGAACTAGGTGTGGCCCCAAAACCAAAGAAAAAGGAAAGAATAATGGGTGTAAAACAAACTGTACTAATTCAGTAGCTCGAGCTTATCATACTTTATTTTAAATTTTGGCACTTGGAGAGGTAGTACAGGGGTAAAGCACTTGTCTTGCATGCGGCTGTCCCCGATATAATCCCTGGTTCCACACAAGGTCCCTTATGCTTTTCCAGGAGTGGTCCTTGAACACAGAACCAGGAGTAAGCCCTGAGCTCCTACTGTTTGTGGCTGCCAAACCAAATTAATTGTGGCATTAAAGACCGCAGGCTTTGGATAACATCTCTGGAAGGAGATGCTCTTTGCCATATGAATTTAGGGATAACGTGTGCATGTGTGCCTGTATTCATTTGGAAGCTCTGTTAGAAGTAACCTTTTTTCTCGTCTTGGTTTATATAATGAAGGCTTTAAAAGTAAAAACCTGTGTTTTATGAACTTTAACTTTGAGAAGACTCCTTTAGAAATCTGTGATTTTATCTATTTCAATGAGGAGATTGATACTTCTGTAATTAATCAAATTTGGAAATGTATCTTGTCATTCCAGCCATGGCAACAACTTTCGAAACGGACTCATTTTTAAATAAGATCTTCTTTCCTCTTGTCAAAATAGCAGGTCTGACAAATTCTACATGTGACAGATTCTGTATGTAGATTTTGCCTCGTAACTAAACTTTGTTTCTGAAAAGTTCTGAATTGCTCTTCAGAAATAGTTATGTAAAGACCTCCAAGGCAATTTTTGGGGGGTAGCTCTGTTATTTATAAAATGTTATGAGGATCTTGAACCATTTCCCCATGGGGCAATTGCAAACAGAATTCCTCCCCTCTAAAAGAGTTTTAATTTGTTACTGTGACTCAGACAGAAGTTTAAGACAAGAAAAAAATGCTGTACATATGCCCACAGGTAATTGCAAAAAGTACTACATCCATTTCCCCATAAACTCTCAAGCATGTTTTTCCATCAGCTCTTTTAAAAATTGAGTATTTATATACTAAAATCCATTTTTAAGTATATAACATATAATTGAAAACGTTCCCTGTTGTATCCTTTCTACTCCGTTTTACTGTGACTTTCTTTCCATATGATGATAACTACTCCTCAGAGCCCGACAATACAGTATAGTTAAGGACTCCCTGAGGATGGTGTGATGAAGGGGGAAAAGGTTTTAAACTGTAAGTCAGAGAAATTAGCCCCTAAACTTGGACTTACATTTTTATGTTATTTTCACTTACCTTGAATTTTGCCTCTACTCATTGGGCATGACAGTTGTCATATTCGGGGGCCGTACAGCAGGTAGAGCATTTGCCTTGCATGCAGCTGACCCGGGTTCAGTCCCCGGCATTCCGTATGGTCCCCAGGCACTATCAGAAGCAATTCAATTCTGAACACAGAGCTAGGATTAGGACCCGAGCATTTCTGGGTGTGACCCAAAAACCAGAACAACAGAAAGTTGTATATTTGACTCATGGTTGTAGGAATTAGGGAAAGTCCCCTAAGAGGTGAGTACTTTAAAAGGTGGTAATTGCTTTTACAATATAAAGTAATATCTTTTTACTACCAGTTGATCAGGTAGCCTACGTTTGTAATATAGCTACTCTTTCTAATACACCTTTTGTAGAAGATAGATACAAAAGTTGAATTTTTCTTAATAATTTTCACAAAAAGGGCAGGATAAGAACAGACTCATTGATACTTTGGTCTAAAATGAAATTTGACATTTTTAAAAAGGAAATAATAAACTACAGTTTATTAAAACCAAATCTTTTTCTTATGACTAACATAAATTTGCTGAAGAGATTGAAGACCCTGCTCTCAAATGGTAGAAATTTTTATAACAGTGCTCTTGGAGTTAGTGATTTTTATTATGTAATAGGACTTGATATTTACTAGGATTTATTTTCATAACCGGGCTGGAGCGATAGCAGAGAGGTAGGGCCTTTGCCTTGCACGCAGCCAACATGGCCGACCCGAGTTCGATTCCTCCGCCCCTCTCGGAGAGCCCGACAAGCTACCGAGAGTATCTCGCCCGCATGGCAGAGCCTGGCAAGCTCCCTGTGACGTATTCGATATGCCAGACACAGTAACAACAAAGTCTCCAATGGAGACGTTACTGGGCCTGCTCGAGCAAATCGATGAACAACGGGAGGACCGTGACCCATGACCGTGATTTTCATAACCATAAGTGTTAAGCTTTTTTTGTCTAAATGGTGCTTAAGTTCTACTTAAGATTTAAAACAAATTTTAGAATGTGTTTTAGAGGGTGGGAAAGAAAATAAATTTAACAATTTTCAGATTAATATTGGTACCATTTGGGAATATGCACCCCAAACTGATCTAGGAGTATTAAATCAACTCTATAATAGAGAAGTTAGAAAAGTGGCCTTCAAATTCAGACAAATTCTCCTTTGTTAATAAATTTGTTCACTTGTTTGTTCAGATTATAAAATTTACAAAAATTTGAAAACTAAGTATAACTGATGGGGAAAAAAGTGAGATTTCTCAGCAAAAGCTCAATCTAATAATAATTAGCAATTATAACAGTATATGCCAAACATAGTACTAAGTCCTTAGTATACTTACCTCACTTAGTCCTCAGATAGTGTTATGAATTAAGGAGTATTGCCTCCATTTAGAAATAAGGAAAATCGATTCATTGGGGTTAAATGCTACCTCCTGCGTTAGGGAATTACTGCTAATTGAGGGAGAAGGATTCCTTAGAGATCTCTCCTGACTCCCAAACCCAGCCCCGGTGCCTTATCACCTTTCACTTTTCCGTGCTGTTGTGGGTTGTGGGAAGGCTCCAGAGCTTTACTAACTAGGACTACTTAGGGACCCTCTGAGTGGATGGAACAAGAGTCTTCTCAGATTAGCTTGGAAAGCGGAGGGGACATTACGATGGTGGAGGGAATCCCAGTGTATGGCCACTGCGAGCTCGAAGGTCGTCAGGCAGATGTGGGAGGCTGAGAAACAGATTGCAGCGCCCTGGGACAGGGCTTGGAGGGCTGGAGTGCTTGTTTCCCACATGGGAGTCCCAGGTTCAGGCCTCACCTCCGCATGGCCCCCTGAGCACTGCCAGGAGTGCCTGTGAGCACTTTGTGCACTACCAGGTATGGACCCAAAAAAGTGGCAACAACAGAACCCCCCCCCCCACACACACACACAAAACACGTGTTCTTCATGTAATCCAAATTATTTTTGGAAAGATTTTAATTTCTCACGAAGTACACTAAAATGTTGGGTGGCTTGTTTGTATTAGATTGACAGCTTCATAAAATAGTTGGTTTACATTTGGAGTCAGGTGAATAAACATCTTCCTTTATAGTCATTGAGGGGCCAGAGAGATGGTCTAGGAGTGAAGGCACATGAGTTGCTCAGCCTGGGTCACTCGGTACTGCAGCAGATACTGTAAGAGACATGTGGGAACTGAGACCCACTGGTCTATTTCTCTGTCCTCATGCTGAATGGAAATGTTCACTATTTAAGTTGGTATTTTCTTTCCTCTTCAAGTTGCCAAGTGAATAGTTCACGCTTTCTCTCTTTTCCTCTCATTATAATTTCACTTGGCAAGATGAAAGGTAAAGAAAAAAAAATCTCATCTGCTAATAAGATCCTGTTAATTCTTCTTGTATGTCTAATGAGACTGTGTCTCTGACTTCTGCTTTTCTGCAGACCTGCTTTAATCTTCTGTCGACAGCTGAAAAAATGGCCACATCAGCCTTTGAGTCTTCCTGATCATCTGGCCGAGCACTCTCTTGAGGTCTGACTCATTTCGCTGCCTCGGCGTAGAGAGTTTGGCCAGACTTGGGTCAGATATCTCCTGCAGTCTAAATTGATATGACCGAGCCGAAGTCACTGTCGTATGGTTCATCTTGGGGCTCTGTCCCTGCACAGAGATACTTGGATGAAGGAAGTGATTGGTAGCTCGCCACTAAATGGCATTTGCACCCAGAAGAGTCGCTAACCTGTTGTCTGCGGCTCTTCATCTATGAAATGAATGCCACAGTCTATCACATTCTCTTCAATTCTATCATTTGAGGGAAGTAATGTGCAAAAACATTCTTTTCTCACAGGAAAACTTCTAGTAGTGAGATGAATTTCACACCAAAACAGTTGCTAAGAATTGTTCTACCTTGAATTACTTCCCAGAGGCTTTTTTATTGCTGTAATAGTTCAACTGTTTTCAGTTTTCAGGCTCACAGTGTTACTACTAATATCCTTGAGTCCACTTTTCTCCAGCTTTGGGGGGTTTGTTTTTCACCCTGAGTCGAGCCAGCCACTCAGTGCGTCCAGTGGGAGAGGACACAGTGGGGTCCTGGCCATTGCTCTCCAGGATGATGGGGCTCTCAGCGGCCTCTCGGCAGCCCTGAGCTCGGGTCTGTCTCCTCACTCAACAGCACGATCCTCCTGTTCTCTGCTCCCGGTTCTACTTCATTTGGGGTTCTTCTTCCACATTTGTTGATTCTGCCTTCAGTGATCTGGATTCCTGCTATTAACTCCTGGAACTTATGTTTTTTCCCTTATTTCCTAGGTGCTATACTAAAAAGCGTGCCTTAACACAGGACCAATTAAGCCAGATCTTTCGTCTGGAGAAGTTGATGCTCTCATTTAATTAAGAGTGTCTTTCTTACACAACTTACACAAGCAGTTAAGCCAGATGCACTGTCAATCATGCCCTTTTGCTATTAATTACTTAACTAATAAGTCTTCACCAACAAGCTGATCCTGAATTTCTGGATTGTACCAGAAGTTACTGATTTTTTAAAATAATATGGCCT